TACGAATAATGATCTTTGAACAAACCCTTTCATCACAAAACTTGTCACAGGCTTCATAAGGTTGTGAGTGTGTGGCACTTCGTCTAAGTTTAAGCCTTGAGGGAGTCAGAGAATAGCAGGTCGTCGATATCCGAGTTTATCTTCAGCGTTGTTTCACGTTCGCCGGCAGGGATTAAGGGCAGAATCGCTCCCCAGCGTCGCATGTTTGTCATGAGAGTTGTCATAAATACAGACCGGGTGCTCATAATGTGTCATTCGTCGACATTCTCTGAAGAAACATAGTTGTTTGCTCAATAAATCTCTGGTCCTTACTCGAATACTGACAGCCATCCGTGAAAATGCTGCATTATCAGAGGGTAAAACAGGTTTGACCCCTTGTGAACATGCATAGCATTCTCAATATATGACGATGTCTTTTTACCAATCGTATCAATGTATGTCATCCTGTAAATGAGCCATTTCTCAATCAATGACGCTTGGCTGTCCGCTTTCTATCGCCATTGCAGTAAGAACGGATTCAAATGACGATCGGGTGATCACAACCTGTGACCTGACTGGTCGCCTGTCTTCTCTCACCTGTGTCCATATCAGCTACAACTACCGTTACATGGAGAGTAATCTGTTACAAAACAATGTTGCATTACATTTTTATGTTAAAATATAGGGCAGTATCGTGTAAGTTGCAATATTTAGACGTTTTTGGAGTTAATATTATTCTAAACCCTTAAGAACAGCATTGATTAATAATAACAATGTATGGCAGTTTTTTAACAAATGGGGGAAGGCGTGTACCTCTGTAATCTCACATAACAGCAGACTGTGAAGATACTTTCTCCACCCTGAATATCCAACCAAGGCATATTTGGTTGCTTCCTGGTGGGAAATGATATCATTGATGTTATTGCCATTATCACTGCTGTTGGATATTATATTGTCATTGTAATTGTACGGCCATAGTATTAGGACTGCCATTTTAGTTTGGAGTGACGTGTATTGATTTGTAAACCTAGTTATTTCATAATTCAGTTGTTAATTATATCATTTCTTTGCATTTTGTTTGTTTCACATTGGAATCTTTTACATACAGATTTCTGGATTAACTGAGACGTAAACACCCATTACCGATAGGTGATTCAGCTCTAAATAATACCAGAAACATATACAGTTCTGTTTATAACCAACAACTAAATAAAAAGACACATTAGACTGGTACAAGTTATCATACTTGAAGCTTTTGTTTATCCTGAATTAAACTTAACATGCAATAGGTCTAACCCAAATCACATCCACATCCTTTAATTTATCCCCAACCTTGACACTCACATTAATACTGTCAAATGTTGAGGGTATTCCTTCCCTTGGGATTAATTCTTGGAAAGATTCTGGAAGAGGAAACAATCTGTCAGGTATGGTGTTTGTGTATAAACGCGGATTTGAACAATATTCCAGTTATATCTCGGAGTAGTCAGCTTAATGTGGGGGAAAGCACGAAGTGATGCAAGCCGCGAACCGCTGATGAAACCCGCGAGTACAGGTATGGTGTTTTCTAGCCTAAAACAAATAATCCAGATGAACTGAAACCCAGAATCATGTTTCTGGCGGTCCAAAGGGACGTAACTCAGCACCGCGAGTTTCTACAATTAAGACAACTGGCCAGTCTATGTTTCTGTGTATTGGACAGTGGTAGATCGTGATATCTTCCTGTTCGTAATGTCACGGTGTACATGTCTACAAATACATAACTGCCAATGTATTATTATTAAGAACACAAAGCATTACGGGTACATGGTGACCGTGAGTACAAATATTGGTAGTCCGGGAGTACAGTACTATTTAGCCTGGAAACAAGGGGATAGCCTGGTGATTAAAGCGTTTGCTCGTCTCGCCGAAAACCAATGGTCCCATTCCCCACATGGGTACAATGTGCGAGTCCCATTCCTTATGTTCCACGCCGTAATATTGCTGGTGTTACACTGGTGTTACACTCACTCACTAATCTGGAAAAATGTTTTCCGTGCGTTCATATTTGGGAAAGTGGTCCTACAGATGTTACAGAGAAGTCGGACATTTGTTACACCGGACAGTTTTACCTGACAACAGTGCCACTCCGATAAGTGAATTTGTATTGTGTTTAGTACTGACACCTTTGCCAGTAAAGGTCTGTGTTTTAATTTGAGGGGGCGGTGGGGGTAGCCAAGTGGTTAAAGCGTTCGCTCGTCACGCCGAAGACCCGGTTTTGATTCCCCACATGTGTACAATGTGTGAAGCCCATTTCTGGTGCCCCCGCCATGATAATGCTGGAATATTGCTAAAAGCCGCGTAAAACCATACACAGAGTGTTATGACTTGTCTTTAGCTTGTCAAGAGAGGCGACTTAAGGGATTAGACGGTCAAGTTCACACGTTCAGTTCCTGAATGTCATCATATCCCAACTCCGTGGCCCGATGCTTATGACGTCAATTACTGGGTTGTCTGCTAATGGCTCGATTTATCAATTCAATATTACTGGAATATTGCTGAGGTCGGCGTTAACCAGTATGCCAACATCGGTGTTTCTATATCTCTTTACCGTATATATCAATTTTTGTCGTGAACTACCTGCCCATGGTCTGATATTAGCATCTCCCGTTAATCTGTCTCTCGATGTCCACACTCTTTGTCGTAGTGTTCTTCCACTGTTGATTCAGAAGCAGACGCCTTGTTGAAAAGAAGTGATCTCGTACATTCATTGTGTGTCCATGTCCGCACCGATAGCTTTCATCGACATCAGTCTGTTGTTATTAGACTTGTCATCATGCGGCATACAGGCCTGAGGCAGTGTTCCAGCAATAACTTCCAGCGTGACAATACGGCATCAGAGAAGAAAGATCGCCAATTGACTGACGTAAAAGACTTTATGCTGTGACAGGCGTATGGGTTTAGAAGAAGGTTTCGTTTCTTTTGATGTCTTGTCTTCCTACATTTAAATGTTATTTGAAATGGTCTATGAAAGTATTTTAGAAATTTCAACGAATCCGTCAAAATAAAAATACAATTCCATTACATACGAACTATTCATCCTTAAAACGGATTTTTTTAGTTAATATTGTTTATTTTTTTGTAACAGTAGTAAGCGATATTCCGTTTTTGTCACGGTGGCCTGTAACGTCATCGAGTCTGGACCAGACAATCCAGTGATGGGTAGCATGAGCCAAGCCGACGGGCAACAGTCACCTGGTCAGTTGAATTCCCTCTCCCTACTGGCATAGATGGCTAGGGACCTACCCTAACTCAGAATCCCCCAAGAGATATAAGATATATTTTCTTCAACAAGAGAGTGTCTTCGTAGAGTATCCGTTTGTGAATTGGTTGTGTTACTTATGTAGAACACTTTACTTATCAGTGCCATAATGTAATGGCCGAACTCTGTAAACAAACAGCCATGAAGTTGGCTTGGCTTCGGTATTGTATAGTTATTATACATGCCAACATATCGCTTACCAAAGAACTGTTATAATATGACGCTTTTGTACGATAGAAATAACGAAGAAAGTGGAATATATCCGGAATTCATCAAATCATTTACTCAAAGACTAAATGATATTTATTTCCAAAACTGGCAAGAAAAATTATCTATTTGAAGCAAATGTGACACTTACCTTATGTTTAAAAACAATATCCATACCGAATTCTATCTATTTCGTTTAAATGTAAAAAGGTATAGAGTAAGTTTAACACGATTCCGATGCTCATCTCATGAACATTTAATTCAGAAAGGTAGATATGTAAATACGAACAGAGAACATAGAACTAGAATTATGTAATTCAAATGCAATTGAAGACGAGTATCATTTTCTTCTTGTGTGCCCTAACTACAGTAATCTTCGAAGCAAATATATAAGAGAAAAATATTATGTCCATCCAAACAGGCTTTAGTTTTCACTACTGCTAAACAGTTCAAATATTAAAGAAATTGAAAACCTGTCCATGTATATTTTCTACGCATTTGTACATAGCGTATTGTTCCTTGAACGTGTGTAAAGCGTATTGTTCCTTGAACGTGTGTAAAGCATATGTATATATGGCATTGTACTATAGGCCTGAATGCTATCTGGGGAGTGAGTGAGTGGGTGAATCAGCTGTGTTATGCACTATATTCTGCATTGCGGAAGGGGGTTGGCTGGTTTGTTGTTTAACGCCGCACTCAGCAATATTCCAGCTATATGGCGGTGGTCTGCAAATAATCGAGTCTGGACCAGACAACCCAGTGATCAACAACATGAGCATTGATCTATGCAATCGGGATACGATGACATGTGTGAACCAAGTCAGCGAGCCTGACCACCCGATGCCGTTAGTCACCTCTTACGACAAGCATGGGTTACTGAAGACCAATTCTAACCCGGATCTTCACGGTTCGGGAGCTATGGGAGTTGGTTGAGAATGGTCCCAATTTGGAATCCCAAGAGGTGTGAAATCTTGAAACTATTTCCACATCACTATCACAGTGAAACAACATACATTCCTTGTGTGTCGATTTGGAGTGCCATTAATTCTTTTTACATGGTGTAAATACCAGGAATCCCTTTGGCATGGTTATAGCCTCCATGAGCAGATTGTGGAAAAGGAAAAGGATATGTTAACGCGTAAGTCATCTGAAAATTATTTCATTATTCAATCCCAAAAGAATATAGGCCTACTGGTTATGACATGACTGGTGCCAAATTTTGATGATCATGCACCTCAGCTGTAAATCAAAACTTAACCATAGCGGGTCTAGTAAACACTGTATTGATTTCCAAAAATGGAGCACAGCTGCTACAACCCATAGAATCTCTATTTTTTAACAAAGCTCCTACAAGTCATAATAGTAAATATGTTCTTTGGCTATGATGAAAACCAAAATCAATCACTACCATAAAGCAACAGGCAAGTGAGTCCAAATTTTGCATTCGAGTTATGATTGTAACAACAGATTCATTACACTGCGGAAAATGGTTGTTCCATGTGAAAAGCGTGAAATGACAGCACGTGCAAACGCGCGAAAGTCTTGGTCACGTGGAGGATACCAGACGACAGAGGTGTCTGATTTGAAAATGTCGGATTTTTCGCTTATGTTCGGAGAGCAAAGTTTCGACAACAGGTAAGCCACTTACGCTCTTGTAGCTTAAATATTGGAATTGAAAATAACCGATCCTACAGTCCCAGTTGTATGCGAGTAGGTTACATCTTGTCTCCAGAATAGGTTGTGTGATACGTAGGACGGCGGTGTCGCGGTTCAGTGTCAGCCACGTAAGGCTAAAGCCATAGCTGCCCGCTTTTTCCTTTTTTGAACGGACAGGTGTTGTTTGTACATATGGCCAAATATATTTCTTATGAACAAGTTTAATCCTGAAACAACTGTAAGCCATTCTATGTAACTACAGAACCTAGTGTCAGTTCAAAAGGGTTAGGGAGTGTAGCTTCTGAATTTGTTCGCCCCCACGATTAGGTTTAGGGTTAGGGACGAGGATATTGGTCTGAGGCTCTATAATATGATGTCAAATATTTTTTTGTAAATGTGACCATATACAAACTAACAAACGTGGCATAATGCATATATATTGTCATTCTACCTACAATACAGAAGAAAACAATGTAATGTCGGATACCGACAGCTGCACAAGCACGACAGCTACACAAGCGACAGCTACACAAGCACGACAGCTACATCTGCATGGCCAAGAAATGAACTTCTATACATACTGTCAATCAAACCACAACAGTATTAAGACAAAATCCGGTTAGAATTGGTCTTCAGCAACCCATGGTTGTAACAGGATCAGGTGGTCAGGCTGGCTGACTTGGTAGATACATGTCATGTATCCCAATTGCAAAGATTGTTGCTCATGATGTTGATCACTGAATTGTCTGGTCCAGCCCTAATTACTTACATTAGTGCTGCATTTAACAGCATTTCAATTAATATAAACAACATGAATACAAACATACATCACTGGCAAGTACTTGGAAACATTTCTAAACTATGCTGAATCCCTGATTCATTCATAGGTTCACACATTATTCCTTCATACATTAAACATTAACTCAGCATCCCACGTTTGACATACCTTCCTTCATCAGGGGTGAGGTCCACTGATTGATGAAGGGGTATGGATTATCGCAGTCTTGGATCGAAACATTTAACCAGGGTGGAAATAAATTAAATTGCTAGTGTACTCCGGTAAGTTTAAAATCCTGATAAAACTATACCCGGCCGCTTTCTTGTCGATTTTAAATAAACAACATAATTAACATTGGAAAGTCAACTTGACACCGGTACAGTGTGATATACAAATTTGCTTGCCCCAAAGAAAAAAACACTGGACTTGGACGTCGGGCAATGGGTTATTTCCACCCCTGTTAACACATTAAAGTCCAACAAGATGAAATAGTCCTCACACTGGATGGCAGTCTTAGGTCCATTCATCAGGTGTTCCTTCATTTGGTTCAGGTGGTAAAGAAAATTGTGCTTTCTCTCCAAGGCAGCTGCTTGTCACCCAGTAACAGTTGGCTGATCCAAAGACGTATATACGTCTTTGGCTGATCACAATATTTGCTGTGCATCTGCTTTCTTCGAAATGTCAAAGTTACACAAGTTTAGATGAGAATGTGCAATTTGGTTCAAACTTGTTTGCCACCCCTCAAAGTTTTGATGGTTAAAGGGCCTGCTGTTTCAAAATGGTCCCACACATTTCTTCAGTCAACCCTCTCCTCAGTACCATAGTCGTAAAAGCCAACACTGCAACATCAGTAGTGCATTTGGTCAAGGGCATGAACCCAAACATTGTCAGCAGGTCTCAAAGGGCAAGGCACAGGCTCTGGCATGACAAGAATTATGAAAGGGCAGGGCTCGACAAATTAATAAATCTGCAAAGCCCTGCAGGGTGAGCAATATGAACTTTCCACTCGTCCTTCTAAAATTGTACATTCCCTATAGATCATGCATCACAATGAATGTAAATTTAAATTATTTTATTTAAAAATGTTTTCTTGGAATAAAATTACAATAAACATTACTTACTTTGTCTTCTGTACAAAATCTGACAAAATTGAATTCGCTCACCATTTAAGATAGCTGAACTTCAAAGAAAAAGAAAAATGTTACTTTTGGGTCCGAAAATGTACTCGTCCTTGAATACGAGCAAATTGTTTTTCACTTGCCCGAACAAATATTACTCGTCAATACGAGGGGACGAGTGGAATTTTCAAGCCCTGAAGGGTCACTGGCAATCTGGTTTGAAAACTTCACCATATTACTTCCTGATAGTGAAGGGGTGCACCCCTGGAGTTGGCACTGGAACCCACATGTGGTAGCTTGTTGGGCAGCAGTTACTGGTTACAATTTGAAGACTATCAGCATGGTAGTGAACACATATAGCAATGATCACATATTTTCTGTTCAATTTGACAAGTGATAATTTGTCATATGCACTTTGGTAACAGTCCCCAAGCTGGACATGGACCAAGATGCCTCCTTTGTTTGCAAAAACACAACTACCATTAACACAACTATTATTAATCCTATACAGTGTGGCAAACAAAGGATAAACCTTCACTCTATCATACAGCTCTATATTACTGGAGGGTTATGCTGAGAAATGGATAAAGAGTTCCTTCCGTTCCCCAAACTCTGAAAACCAAACTCTAAACCTAGCCCTAACTTAAATTTTGGACTTTTAATCATTTTGTGAGTTCTCTAGTAATTGTTGTGTTAAGTTTTGTTTATAATTCTAGAATAGTTATACATATTATTTGGGATAGAACTGGAGGAACTCTTACCGAGAAATGATATATCATGCCTAAATGTATTGCTTACTGGATTATTGTATTACTTACCACATGTAAAAGTGTAACTAGTTACATGACAAAACAGCTGAATTATTGAAAGCATAAATGCATTATCTATACAAATCTGAGGAATATGTATAAAATTTAAAGTATGAACTAGAGACTAACTTTTTGAAATGAATCCGAAAGTCCATGAATATGTTTTTCCACTTTTCACATTGTTCAGTGCTGTAAGTACTGGGACCATCTGTGAGTAACCTGAAATGTGAATCTGCAGTAAACACCAAACATTTAAACTGGACACAGTAAGCAAAGTTCATGACAAAGGGACAGTAAGTGATGTGCTTGGGCGGGCTATTGTGTCATAGAGCACTAGGTGATTGGGGCTGTGGCAGAAAACTCATGCAGTAAGCTGAAACAGATTTAGGAAAGTTGAAGTGAGAAGTATGTAATGTTTAATACATACTGAATATTTAATTCAGTGAAAACTAAAGAATAAAACCTCCCCAAATATATACAAATATTTTATCCTGTTACGCAAATTATATATTTATTAGAACTACAAACTGCTTCAAAGAAAAACCAAGCCCTCGGCGGCAAGAGGAGGTAGCATTAGATATTGTTATTTATGTCTGGCACAGTCCTTAAAAGTTGAGTTAGCTATGGTCAACAGATTCTCAAACCAGGGAAACTGTCAGCACACCAGCCAATATCTGGCAAATCACATATTTACAATATCACCGCAGCAATTATAATCAGCTTCAAATTCCAAATTTCATTATCCCTGTGTTACTTTCTTAGTCCAAGATCAAAGACATTTTTCCAAATTCTATCATGCCTGACTTTGCCAATGATATTTCATTCTGGAAATCCTCAAAACTAAACAAGTACAGAAACAAATTGAACCTGTACTTAATGCTATAGAAGCTTTATCTTCCAACTGGGGATTCAGAATCGATAATAAGGAACTGTTGGCATATTAGAAAATCACTAATGCCAGATCTAAAATCCAAACTACACTTTAATAATGAAGACATCACATTCTAAAAACAATTTATTTTTAACTGTCTACTTTTGCAATCAGGTTGGTTGTACCACCACCATCCCCCAGAGATGAGATCTACCCTGCTTATACTAGATTTTTTTTTCTTACTTAAAACCTGGAAAGGTGGTAGTTGATTTTCTAGAAGTTGTAATTAATGAACAGCTGACACACTTTTTGAAATTACTGCAATATAATGCGGGTTTGTTTCACTGTAAAGGGAACATTCAGTGACTCATTGCCGCATGATGGTGAGCAATACTGTAGTATTGTGCTGGAACTTAAGTAAAACAGTCGAAGATATTAACAGCCATATTTGTGCTGGCAGAACAAGCAATGCTCAGTACTCGAAAAGGCAGAATTCTACACCTGTACTCCTTTTCCAGCTAATTTCAGGTGTACATACTCCTGAAGTTAAAACATTATCTAGAGCATTGCAGCCTTAACCAAAACCTATAAATATTTACTATAATCACTATACCCATGTTACTAAAGAGCTTCACATCCTTGAAAAAACCTAATCATTTCTGACTTGTTAATTAAGATCTATGGTGAGGACGACGACTGATTGGCGTATAACCCAATCCCCATTTCACACGGGATAAAAATAGTGCTTATGGTAATTAGTGTGCCCAGGCACAGTAATTATTGAAATGGCACGGATGAAATATTTTCAAAATGCTCAGCCAGCACAAGTGAATTTCGGAAATAATATTCATTTTTTGTTTCATGGAACAATGTGATAAATTTCACCAACTGAAATGTTTAAAAACATTTTTGCACTTCAAACTGTTTATCTCAATCCCACAGCTTAACATTGGTATAGGGATAGCTTGTGGGATATGGGTGCAAGACAAATGAAGCTGAACTATTTTTCCGGTATAAATCCATAAATACATGACACTTTTATGGATAACAACTTTTTATTCTTTACACAATGTTTCAGAGCTAATTCTTGCTCCTTCATCAGGTAAATACTGAGTCAGTACAAAGAGTGAATAAGATAAAACCTGTTTACAGAATGTAAGGAGGGAGAATTAAATCCAGCTCAAAGGTTTATTGGTTTACATAATGTTTACGAATATCAGGGCTCCAGATAATTTTTCAACATCAGGAGTACGTACTCCTTATTTGTTCAATATTGAGTACTGGAAAACCTTAAGTGTACATTTAGAGTACTGAATGGAAGCTAATGGACTATCAGTAATCTTGTGTTTCGTTTCATATATGCACAACATTGCTACTCTTGTGTAAACAGGTCAATAAACAATAAAACAATACTTTTTTTCAGATAAATACGTCTGTAAGTGATTCTAAGACCATACACCATTGCTGTGGTGCGTATCTGCTACGTTTTCTAAATTATTTCCTACCGTATCGTGCATATTTTTTATCCGTACATACACCGATACGGCCCTTATCTGGAGCCCTGAATATATGAAACAATGAATTCCAATGACTTAATTGCTGTGATGTTAACTTGATTAATCAAAAAGGTATGGGCACACTTATTTTCACAAAGGCACACCTGATTTATCTGTCTGGTGCCCTATGGCAACCTTTTAGAAAAATTCACTGTCATGTCATTTGGCACTTATCCTATACTCCTATATCACTCAATATACTGTAAAGATGATTAAAAGTAGGAACCTGAATCTGACACATCTCAAATTAACAGAACAGCGGTGTCTTGTACTGGAAGTAATGATAGGCAGTTGATTTTTATGTCTGAAGTATTCATCACCTTGACGTCAGGTAAAACTGACAGTCAACCTAACCACAAGGTTTGGTCGACTGGCAGCGGTTGATAATCATTAAAACAAGAACAAAATTCATCTTTACAATATTCATACACGGTTATACACATTTTGAAAATAGGCCCATGAAGATGCGGGTTAGAATTGGTCTTCAGTAACTCATGCTTGTAAGGGTCGACTAATGGGATCGGGTGGTCAGGCTCGTTGACTTCCTTGACACATGTCATCATATCCTAGTTGTTTGGATCAATGCTCATGCTGTTAATCACTGGATTGTCTGGTCCAGACTCAATTATTTACAGACAGCTGGAATACCATGAAAACTGATGAGTGTGGCATAAAACTAAACTCTCTCATTTTGAAAACATCAATAATTAGACAATTTATAAAAAATATGGAATTGTTTCACTTCTTTGCACAGCATTTACTCCAACACTAGGAGCATTGATGCCTGGGGTGGAAATAACTTTAAAATTGATAGTGTACTCCGGTACAGTGGCACATGTAAAGTCACTTGCCCTAATATTTTTTCCACTATACCGACTGTTTTCTTGCTGATTTTTGTATATAAACAACATAATTAACATTGGAAAGGCAACTGGACACTGGTACAGTGTGATATACAAATTTGTTTGCCCAACAGAAAAAAACCACTTGACTCGGATGTCGGGCAATGGGTTATTTCCACCCCTGGATACACTTAAATGTTACAATCAGTGAAACCCTATAGGTTTTGTGCAGTAACATTAGTTATTCTCCTTCATTTGAAACTTGCGCAGTAGTTAACCGGAAATCAGTCTATAAATGAATTGGTGTGAAACCAACAAACGGCAAAGCAATGTGATGTAATTAACAATTGTATTCTAAAGTTACCTATGTTTACAAATAAATGCAAATCACTACAAAGGTATTACAGTGGCATTACATAATAAGGACGGTATTATAAGAAAGTGATTGTGGCAATAAACGCAGATGGTAATATTCACCTCACTGAAACAAAGGTCAAGTTTTCAGAAATAGACAGTTAAAAATGATCTCTACACAATTGGTGGTCTTGTAACTTCATGTAATGAGAACCTGTGAAGATCCGGGTTAGAATTGATCTTCAGCAACCCATGCTTGTCGTAAGAAGTGACTAACGGGATCGGGTGGTCAGGCTGGCTGACTTGGTTGACACATGTCATGGTATCCCAATTGCGTAGATCGATGCGCATGCTGTTGATCACTGGATTGTCTGATCCAGACTTGATTATTTACAGACCGCCATGATATAGCTGGAATATTGCTGAATGTGGCATTAAACAACAAACTCCGTTGTATGCCTGGAAGACCCGAGAAAATTCTCCAATCCAGTCGGTCAGAATATAGTGGAAAGGCCCCTAGGGTTGTAGTATGCTATACTACCTTCCAGTAACTACCAGAACTGTCTAAATATAGTTCACACCACTGCCTTTCTCTGACTATCCACATGTACAGTGTTTTACTCTTGGAACATTGTTACACAATGAATAATACTGCCATATATCTTCATGTTGATGTTGAACAATTCGTGTATGTTTGGGGTTATTTTTAGGTAAGATGGTAATTCCAGAAACATGGCTATTATTATTTGGTTAGCACATATATTGTACTTTATTGAAAGTAGTAGCAGATAAATTTACTGTGTCTAATATGTCAATGTTCCAGCAAACCATCTGCCGATGAAATGAGGTGGGCAGATCAAAGAGCAACTGCATGAACAAGCACCTGTTCTTGGCATCAAGGATGAAGTCATCTTGTACCATCATGAAGCTGCCGGAAGCTGATCATGACATGTGAATTGAAGAAATCCTTCACTTGTGGACTTGACTATTGTATGTGCTGCTCCTGAGTTCTTGATACAGTGTCATATTCAAACAAGGATTAGAGAAAGTGCATGTGATTCAGTGATCAATTTGCTGTTCCTCATATCACAGTGGAAGATGTACAGTAAAGGTAAGTTTTCTATTCTTTACACATGCATTGTTCTGAAACCAAGCATGAATGCAACACACTTTAGGATTGTAAGCCCGTAGAAGTGTGAAACTGGCCTATGTCATGTCAGTTTCCATGTGGCTCGGTTCGGGAACCAAGAAGATGTGGTTGAATGTCCAATGTTGAATTGGACTATCACATGGTGTGTTATCATCATTTAGTTTCTGAAATTGCATACTGAAGAGGTAAAGTGACAAACACCCATGACCCAAAGTTGTAGGATGGCTCACTATATAAAGCAAGACCTTGGTATTCCTACACCTACACTTCCAGAAACCTGTGAAGAACCTACATCGCCATACAAGAACGGATTGACAGGTATTTTACTGGAACTTCTCAGAGGTTGACATTTGGTCAGTCATGGCAAATGAGAGTAAATAGTATTCTTTTGAAATAATACATTCCCAAGTTCAGAAAATATTACATATTATGTTGCCAAATTTGCTATCCGTGAGATTTGGTTTTGAATTCATGATAAGTTCCTGATCAGTATGCACCAGAGCTTACCTGACAAATGTGGGGCAGATGGTTCCGTTTCAAACCCAGAATAATTTCAGTTAAAATGCTCAATAATTACCTTACAGGTGGCCCTGATAGTTTGCTTGCCGATCGTAATGTGTCTGTCCCCGCAAACTTCTGATCCAAGAGAGACTTGTGAAAACTGGTCAACCCGTTATGTAGTATCTAGAGTTAACTCTTCTGCATCCAGAAAAAAATCGTCGCCGCCTCTTCAGGAAGAAGCATGCACTGATGAAAGACCAAAGTTAAATGATTCAAGTGCCACTCAAACTTTCTTATAACTTTTTGACGCAATATCTTGTGCAAGATCGCCAGATATGTTGATGCTTTGTTTGTTGAGAGATGTCTGTGACCAGTTGATCTTGATCTTTGATGTTCCCTAATCATTCACTGTTGAGAGGATCAGGCAGCATGGTACAATCACTCGCTCTCTGTACTGTGTTCTGAAATGATTTGTCCACCATAAGTGATGAGTTTCGGTACTCATGAAATACATCAGTAGACATTGATATTTACATTGAAGGATAGCCTTCATTTAGTTGAGGTGTGTGCATGGTTCAGGGGGGATATTTGTAGTAATATAGTCATAACTCTAAACAAGTGTTTAGCATAAAAAAACATGACAGTTCCTTGTCAGCACCTGATTGTCAAAATGACATCCCCCCTCAGTTTGAGCACAAGATAAGTATGGCAGTTTGATCACATCAAAATGCATTAATATGATCCAGCTGGACTTGGTTTCTTTAAGTGGCATGCATCTTTAGTCACATCATAAGCAGAAGGTTCAGATCAAACAATGGGCCAATTACATTGGAATTTCTGGCTCCAATATCTGTTCAAAGTACCCATGAAAATCCAGTCTTCAGCTACCCATGCTTGTAAGTCAGACTTGCTCACACAGTTAATGCATGGCATTGTAGCCTAATTGTTTAGCTTGTTGCTTCTGTCAGTCACAGATCTGTATGGTTCAGGCTTCATTATGGACTGACTGGAATATCACCGTTTAAGCTTTAAACCAAAAGAAACATTGTTGAAAGGCATGTGCCAAGTATGCATGTATACTTGCAGAACTATTCTCATGTACATTGGTCGATTGTAGAAAATGCAAGAATTCCACTACTTTAACAACCATTCTTGGCATCATGTTTGTCCATTTCAGATCAGTACTTTGATATTCGTCACAATATGGCTGAAATATTGCCAATGTAACCTTAAATCTAAAAACTCTCTCACTACTGTGATAATATACTATTCACTCTTTGCTAAGGATCATATCATGGATTCAACAGAAAAGTATTATGTGGGGTCAAATTTGGTTTAAATACCTAAGCTTATTGTAAGCATGGATCCTAGGTTTCAGTGTGTCTTGCATCTTCTGGATCCCATACCTGCTATGAACAGATGTTATGTACTTGCCAATGACTTGTTCCATGATTTGCAAAATGGTTGATTGGTGCCATGAAAAACTCTTTGTATGGTTACTCATGTATCAAGTGCATTAGGTTAGATTAAGGCAGGGACCATATCGGTATATGGTCTCTGATTAAAGTGACTGTTTGCCTAATGAGGGGCTACCATATTATTATCTATCCAGTTTTAAATGGATTAAATTGACTGTTTCAGTAAAGTTGTGAATTTTTGTGATCCTTAGCAAAGTGAGTAGAATACACCATGGCTGTCAAGGTAGATGATATCTTGTTATAGCATATCTTGTGCAACAGCTTTACTTTGTAGATCAACACCCCAAACAATGATGCACAATATCTAAAGCTGTGCAAGTGATCTTTTGATGGTATTGAAAGATGGTTCACTTACACATTTTTCCAATTCTGTAAAGTGGACATGGTGGATAGCCACCGTAATGAAGAGAATTACAGGTTGTGTCATCTTTATTTATTTCAGTGTGTTGTATTCACACCAAGTACTCTGTGTACAACAACATTCCTTAATAGTTTTACTTTAGAAACACATTTTTCCGTATCCTGACGACCCGTGAAGGTCTGGGTAGAATATTGATCTTCAGTAACCCATGCTTGTCGTAAGACTTGGTTGATGCATGTCATCGGTTCCCAAATGCACAGATCGATGATCATGCTGTTGATCACTGGATTGTCTGGTCCAGACTCGATTACTTACAGACTGCCACCATATAGCTGGAATATTGCTGAGTGCAATGTAAAACTAAACTCACTCACCTTATCCTGACTCATACTGTTTGCTTGAAACTGTCGGTAGGTGGTTGGCAGCCACTTATTATTTACTTCATTTACTGTTCATATAACCCCTAGGGAACTTCCAATCCTTTTGAAGATTCAAAGATTTCATGGATTGTAAGACTTGCATAGAATGATTCTTGCTTGTCTTAAGATGATCCAAGTGTTAAGAATAGGTCATTAACTTAACTAAATCATACTCAAGCTCTGAATCACAAAGTCAAACAGGCCTATGGACTCTGACAGGAGCCTGACTTTTAAGAGTCTATGTGATTGTGGGTGAGCATTATCTTGAAGGAACTGTTGTGCTACATCTTAAGGTCCAAATAAATGAATACCAGCAACATCTTCTGTAGCAAAATCTCCTGAGATAATTCAGGGATTGCAATTTTCTGCTGATCCATGGATTTCCGCAGATTTTAATTCAAATTGTTCAATTGTGAATCGTCTAAATCCATTGAGAAACCCTCAACTCGATGACATAATATTAAGTTACCAGCTGAAAATAGATTTTCCTGTTGCCATCCCTGATAATTGTCAGCAAAAACAGTATCTGATTTACAAAGACATCCTTCCATGATCATGGATGTGATCAATCAGTTGCAATGATGTAGTTGTTCCAGATATGTTGGATTTAGAGGTTTTTCATCTTGTTTACATAGTACATCACATTCTTGAAAATATTTCTGCAAGAGGATATTCCAAGAATTGTATATTTTAGAACAGTATCTTTTTTTTTTCATTTTATGATACTTTGCCATTTTTTTGAAGGCTACATCCTTAATCTAAATTAATGTATCAATAGAAGGTCCTCATTTTCTGCAGTATTTAACTGGAACATCAATCACTTTTCTTTAAGTTAACAACACTATTTCCAAATGTAGCAACATTATTGGCAAATAGAAGAATGGACAATGCATTTACAGCACAGTCAATAGAAGCTCCACTGAAATCATTCTTTACAATGTCTTCAACAAGTACATCAATGATGTACAGAATGAACCTTCCCCTGGGAAACTTTGGCTGGGGGTGGGGGGAGGTTTAGCCTAGACCAAACTTTCCCTGGGGTAGGAATATCCTATGACAAAACAGTGAAAAGTTAGGCCTAGGCCAGATTCTCCCCAAGGAAAGTTTAGACCAGGGAAGAAATGGCCTGCTACACCTGCAAGGTACCTTCTTTGCCTTTATTAAAGGGCAAGTTTACACAAAAATTAACCTTTTTTGTCTTGCACTTTTTCATCATAAAAAGTGTTTGTCAAGTAGTTTTATAGCCAAAACAGTACAAATATCAGAAGTAACTAATTTATTTTTTGTGTTATTTCGATTCACAATTTCCACATTAACCAAGAGTTCTATGTCTACAATGAACACATCATGGCTAATGTACCTTGGAAATGTCATTGGTGCCCAATTGATAAATGAATGACGTTGTTAGACCTTATTAGACCCATTTCACATGGTGCAGGTATAGGTGTGGTTCTTGTGTCTGGATGTGCAGGCTCTTGTTTTAATCCACCTGTTGCCTGGCCGTCGGCTGGCTATGTGGTCAGATCCACACTGTGATGTTGCAATTTGAATAAACATATACATTGTACAAAAGTACCACATAACCAAATTGTATAACATTCAACCTGAATCGGTCATCTTTCCAACAGTATCTTCTTTCATCAGAACTAAATCGTATATGCACTACATCTAGCTAGCCATCAGTGAATGTGCCAGCATTCTATGTTTGGTACTTAATTCCCACAAATTGTACAATATATGCCACTCCCCTTCAACCCTCACTGTCGAAACCATATTCAAATGCATCATGAAGGTAAATGCAATTTGCAGTTTTGAATTCTGTTTGAGATTCGTTTTTCTATATCTGCCGCTCATTGCAGGGCAAATTTACTGAAAATTACTTGCATCGTAACTCTCGCCAGTTTTGGCACATTACTGAATTACCATAATTTTGCATTTTGAATAATTTATAGTATGTCTTAATCTAAATGTTGAATTTTACTGGGACAATTGAATTAAAGAAACCCAACCCAAATCATTGTGATCAATACGCAAACAGGAACGGTGAAGTGAACTTTCTGCCAGAGTGTCATGTCACAAATATGTTGGTTATTTTTTCCCCATTACATCACAACTATAATTATTCAAAACCAACCTCGTTACATGATTTTCTGAATTCCTCATAGTTAAAAATAAAATGACAAATAGTCTTTGTCACCAATACCAAGTGTCTCGGTGAAATCTAGCTAAATATATCAAATGCTGCTTTGGGAAAGGACCGCTTGTTTAAAATGTAAACAAAGCCAATCTCAGATTTCGACACTGTATACTGTCATACTGTGAGAGAGCCTTTCGCCTGCATGTTGCATACATTTGCTCATAAGTTTTAGAACATGCGTGGGAAGAGTATCATAGCAAGAGATGATAAAATATATAGGTGTATTCCGATTCAACACAATATATTATAGTTTCCGTAAGCGTCACGCCATTACTGACGCAAACTCGCGAGTAACGATGATGGTTCTTCTCATTTCTGACTATTGCCCTTGGTCGCAATGGAAACAAGCAGATTGTCAGAATGTTTTGGACTATTTACATGTCATGTTTATGCATATACGTTGGTGGAAAGAATGAAAATTTTCTTCCAAATATCCTGCATACTCCTGTTGGTGAATACACCATTTTGGGAAAGTTGCTTGGCGATAGTGATGTCATGCGTACGTCAACATTGTTATACATATTTGGTATTTTCATTGAGGTAAGGTTATGAATGAAAATACACAATCATTTCTATCTTACTGCATACATGTTCAGTTGTAATGCTGCTTTTGTATTCTTATATACTTTTATCACATGATTAATATCCGTATTATCTTTTGCTTTGGGACTAGACAAGTGACAGGTCTAAATCAATTGGCACCAATTACGTCATTTATATCAAAGGGTGGCAACTGTGGCAAACAAAGGCCTCATTATGGCATAACATTTCAGCACTTTTATTGAGGGTTCTACTTTTTATTGTAAGAAAATGAGTATATTTTCAAACATTGATATTAACTAATAAATCAAACAAATAAATCATGTTTATTCTTGAGTGAAAAAAAATGGAATTTTTTAATTCCATTTTGTTTCACTCAAGAATAAACATGATTTATTTGTGACCACTTCCCCTTTAACAACAAAGAGGGATCTTCTTTCTATCTTTGTCGCAGGCATTTTTAAAATCAATGAAAACTCCAAACATTGTTCAGGCATCTTCTTTATATACGTATCTGATCCGTTATGCTGTAGTCTTTCCTGCACCTGGATTGAGATTAAAAAACATTCAAGAAAAGACCAAGGACGTCAAATTTGCAATTAAACATTGCTAGAAAAGATTATTTACCTATTCAGTTCTAATTTGTTTTTGCTAGGCATTGTCTTATATGCAGGGATTAAGATTAACATGTGTAATTGTCTCGTATACAGCGCCGGAAATAGCAATCAGCTGTGCAGTGCACACGTTCCCCTACCTGTGACTTAGTTAAACTGTACCCAATAATA